GATCCCGGGTCTCCAGGATCGCGCCCTGGGCCAAAGGCAGGCACTAAACCGCTGCGCCACCCAGGGATCCCAGATTTTGAACAGTTGTACTTGCATTTTCATTAATTTCCATGAATCTTTTTGATTCTTCTCTAATTTCCTGGTTCTTTTAGTAGGATGCTCTTTAACCTTCATGTGTTTGAGTTTCTTCCAAATTTCTTCTTGTGACTGAGTTCTAGTTTCAAAGCATTGTGGTCTGAATATATGCAGGGGATAATCCCATTCTTTTAGTATCGATTAAGAGCTGATTTATGACCTAGTCTGTGGTCTATTCTGGAGAAAGTTCCATGTGCACTTGAGAAGAATACCTTTAGAATTTTCTCTTTACCTTTGAAATTTGCAGACTTCACTATTATATGTTGGTATATTGATTGGTTTTTGTTGATTTTAGGAGGGGGTCCTCTCTATCTCTTGGATCTGAATACCTGTTTCTTCCCCAGATTAGGGAAGTTCTCAGCTATGATTTGTTCAAATATACTTTGTGGTCCTCTCTACCTCTTTTGGAATCCCAATATGATGAATATTACTTTCTTCCTGTGTTAATTTTTTTCTCTTTTTTCCTCTCTTCCTTCCTTTCCATCGATTTGTCTTCTATGTCACTCACTCTCCCACTTCATTAACCCTAGCAGACAGAGTATCCAGTTTAAATGACATCTCTTAAAGTATTTTTAATTTTGGCCTGATTAGATCTCAGTTCTTCAGTAAGAGAATCTCTCGAGTCCTTTATGCTTTTTTTCCAGAGCCACCAGTATTAATTGTATTTCTGAATTGTATCTCTGACATGGTGTTTAAATCCACATCTAGTAGGTCCGTAGCAGGGAGTATTACTTCTGGTTCTTTCTTTTGTGGTGAATTCTCCCTTCTAGTCATTTTGTCCAGTGCAGAATGGCTGTGTGCATGAGGAGAGTCAAAAATATCAATCATGACCTAAGTAAAATACAGTTTTGACAATTCTGAAGAATTCAGAGACCAGAAAAATAAAAAGAAAAACATAACAAAATAAAACAAAAGGACCATGAAAGTGATAAACAAGATGAAAAAAATTTTAAAAAATTATAAAGGGGTGGTGAGGAAATGGTGGTGGATACAGAATATAGTCTCACTAAGTAGACCTAGAGCATGATCCTCATGGTTCTGGGTGCATTTTATTCTGTATATTAGAAGATGTTAAATTCCAAATTTGTATAAACCAGCAAATCTTATATAGAAACCCAGCATCGATCACAAAAACAGAAACAAGATGATAGGGGTGGGGGTGGAATGAAAAGGGAAAATAATAGTCTCACAGACTGAACCAACACAGTGTTCCACTTGGTTCTTTGTGTATTTTGGTCCATGTGTTAGAAGGTACTAACTTCCACCATTATAAAACATAACTAGACAGAAAAACAAAACCCCACAACTCATATATCTACCAAAATTAAATTGAATATGTTGAAAGGAATCCAAAAATGAAGAATATATCTAAGACAAGTAATTGTAGAAATATAAAAGGAAAAAGCTTAAAAATGAAGAGTTAGTAAAATATTGTTGAGGCAGGAAAAGAGAAAAAACATTGGAAATTTTTAACCTGAAAGATAAGTGAATCATAAGGAAACAGACTTCGAGTTCTATATACTACCTTCCCTCATTCCTGAAGCTTTCCAGTGCTGCTTGGTCAGTAAACTTGCTCTTCCCTTGTCCTTCCAGCAGGTCTTCTGGGGGAGGGGCCTGCTGCACTGCTTCTCAGGTGTCTGTTCCTGGGCAAAGATGCCCGCCCCCTGCCTGGTGCCCAGCTCAGTGTGAGCTGTTTACCCTGTAAGGCCTTTGTTTCCTAGCAGCTCTACCTCTCCCAGGTGAAAGATGAAAAGAAAAGTGGCTGCAGCCAGATCTCCAACCCCAGAGCCAAGAGCTCCCCATGAGTACCAAACTGTAGTCTCCCAGTGCGCACTGGCCTAGATGCCCCTGGGGGCAGGCACCGGGCACTGATCTGCACAAATGGAAGTGTGCCCAGCAGCAGCAGAGTTCTCACTGTCCCATGCCCTCTCCGCTTCCGCCTGTCCCAGAGGGAATGGGGATTGCAGGCTTCATCTGCAGGGGGCACCATCTGATGGAGGGCCCAGCTCCACTGGACCTGCTCCTGGGGTCTGCCTCTCCCAAAGGGAATGGAGGGCAGCCACCTATGTCCATTGCCAGGCTCTAGGGTAAAGAGAGCTCAGGTGCTGGCCCACAAAACCGGCCAGCTTCTCCCAGGTGTCTTGGGAAGTTTGCGTTGCTCCAGCCCTTTACCATCATCCAACTGTGGTTTGCAGTGAGCTTTCTCCCAGGTGCCCTTATTCCTTTTGTGTCTCTGGAAATATTGAGACTTCACTTCCCTTCCTACAACTCTGCCCTATTTCCCCACTGAGTACTTTTCAGTCAGAGAAATATAGCAAATACACAAAGAACCAAGTGGAACACCGTGTTGGTTCAGTCTGTGAGACCATTATTCTCCCTTTCCATTCTGCCCCCACCCCTATCATCTTGTTTCTGTTTTTGTGGTCGATGCTGGGTTTTATATAAGATTTGCTGGTTTATACTCAGGTGCAGAGTTCTAAAGGTCCCAATTGTCCACTCCACTGCTTTCCTGCCCCAGCTTTCCTCGGCTCCCCTCCCTTGTCTTTCTTCTCTGCCTTCCTACCTTGTCAAAAGTGATCATGTTTCTCTCTATAGCATTCCAGTTGTTCTCTTTACACCTCAGGTTGAATTCATAGGTGTTCAGAATGTTCAGAACGTTACCTAGGCACATTTGGTGGACCAGGTGAATCAAGGACTCCTCATCTTGCCTCTCTCCCCTTACTCTAGTTTTAATGAGGGATTTCATTAAGTTAGTTATTTTTTTTTTATTGAGACTCTGGGACCCTTGGAGAGATTTTCTTATTTTTTTAGATTTCTATGGTGTACTTTAACATGTGTTTTATAGGCAGTCTAGTTGGGAGCTTCCTCTGCTATTTTTAGTTGGTCGTGCTGCCAGATGCCAATGCCAGTTCTTTCTTTTGATCAAAGTGTCCATCATTGCCTCTCACCTAGAAAGAAAAACACATTCTATCTTGCCCCTCTTAATTTCACTGTCTCCAATTTTAATTTATCCTATATATAATTGCCAACTTGATGTATCAGTGAACACGTTAGACATTTTAAATTCAAAGTCCCTGGAAACAAGAGTTTCAAGCTCAGGAAAGATAGGGATCCTAGAGATTATTGAGTCACTGATATAATTATAAATGCCATGAGACTGGGTAAGGTTACTGGGGAGACTAGAGTAGTGAGTATAAATAAAAGAGTATTATAGAACACCAATTTCAAGGAGTAGGCAGAGAAAAACAAACTAGGAAAGGAGATTAAGAAGATGAAATGCCAGAAATTGGAAAACAAAGAATGGTATCTCCAAATGTGAGGAAAGGGAGGGTTTCAAGGAGGTGAAATTTATAGGGTCACATGTGGCCAAAAGGGCAAACAAGAGAACTTATCATTTGTTTGATCATTAGAAGATGGATGATTACTGTTGTCAGAAAAGTTTCAGGGGAGCCCCCATGGCGCAGTGGTTTAGTGCAGTGCCTGCTGCCGAGGGTGTGATCCTGGAGACATGGGATCAAGTCCCACGTCCTGCTCCCTGCATGGAGCCTGCTTCTCCCTCTTCCTGTGTCTCTGCCTCTCTCTCTCTCTCTCTCTCTCTCTCTGTGTGTGTGTGTGTGTGTCTCATGAATAAGTAAATAAAATCTTTTAAAAAAAGAAAAGTTTCAGTGTAGTGGGATCATATACTAAACAGCAATGACTGTATGAACAAGTAATACAACTTGCTATAATCCTCTCTCCTTTTTCTTCCACATCCACTGAATATATATTGAGTCAGTAAGCTTCCTGAAACAAAAATAATCACAATTGCCTTCTGATCTTCCCTAGTTGAAAGGGATTCAGGCAAATACTGGAGAGGTTAGTAAGAAGGCAAAGGAGGAGATTGGGGATAACAGTCATTAATTTTTTGTTTAGACTTTATTATAGATATTTTATTAGTAAATTTATGTAATCTGGTAGTAATAACTAATGTACATTTCTGGTATGTTTTAGTTGAAATCTTTATTTTTATACTATCATATTTCACAATATAAAATAGAGAACAAAGAACTTAACTGCTTGCTTTTGGAGTCAGAAAAACTCAGTTATATCTGTGTAAATCTCAGCATTCAGACCAAAAAAAAATTAAAAAAAAAGACCTTTCTTTCTAAAACTATATGCAAAAGTATATGATCATGACATGCTTTCCTCTCAAGATCTTAAACTTTCTGTAAAGGTAATTAAATTGTAGCTTCATCTTAGTATAAAATTAAACTTTCATCAAAAAGAATTATCAAAGTTATACTTCAGGTAAAGAGAGTATGATTGTGAAAAAAGAGTAGAAAAGTAGTACTTTGCATATTTAGAAAATACTTTAAAATATTTAGAAACCATTTATTTCATCATTTTAGAACAGCCTAGGATGTATTTTCTCCAAAACCCACAAATAGGACTTTTGTAATAATACATCCAACTTCTCACCTTTTACCTAAGAAACACAAAAGTATAATTCTTTGATTTGTTAATTACTTTATCCTGCTATATTCTCCATATCCCCATACTTTTCTCCTATAAAACACGATAAAGTTAAAAATTATGAGAGACCTATTTCCTAGGTCAGCCTTTCTCTGTATTCAGCAGCACCTACTCTGGGTTAAGCTTATCCTTGAAAGTTGCATTGGAGGCCTCTATAGGCTCTTTGCCTCAGCTCCTTCTAAGTGCATTAACATTCACACGCAGAAAATCCCAGCAGGCAAATTCCCTATTGCTTGAAAATATTTTTCCCAACGAAGAACAAAAACAATAAGACATAAATATATTAAACAAGCAGCTCTCTCCTTTGTGGTTTGTTCACAACTAGCATATAACATTTCTTTTTTTCCTTTCAGGTACCAGAGATTTGAAAAGGCATTTCTGTTAGCTGTTGACATTGGTGCTCGTGACCTGTTTATGGTGAGTCATTCCCAAAGATGATTTTGTGCCTTCAGTTCTAAGGCTGAGTAAGTTGTCAGCTTTTGTGACCATTAAAAAGGATTAGTGTCATTTGTGCCTTACACACATGGTGGGAAAGCATTATTCCATCTTGGCTTGCAGCTTTGCCTTCACGAAACTGGTCAATAGCCATCTAGTCTCTTTTGACTTGTTGACATTTTCCTTGCCAGGGCCCAAAGGATATTTTATGTTTTCTAAGAATGTATAATTCTTGAACTTTTTTCTTCATGTACCTTGATATAAGGGGATGACACCTTTCTATCTAATAAGCTTTAATGTCTTCTTAATCCATTCTCTGAAGTACAGCTACAGAAGCTAGGACATAAGGCAAAATATGTGCCATAGATTTTGAATGTGCTCAGTTTGTCCCTTAGATTTTAGTGTGAAGTAACAAATTATGAATGTTCTCACTTATATTTTTTAATTAACCACAGTTCACAGATGCAAGGGGTTATAAATTCACATACACTTTAGTCATCCATTTATTAGCTAACAGTAAAATTGGCCAGTTTCTTACAGATCCTTGTGCTCTGTATCAGTTTCTTATAAGATCTTTTACCACAATGTCACAGTGAGATCAGATGTTCCTTTTCTGGTTTCCTAGCATATTCTCCATTAGAAACTTCACTGTTATCAAAGAAACAGTTAAGCAAATTTCTTGAAAACAAACAAAATTCTGGAAGTCTCTTTTCCCTGAATCTTCTGCACAATGAAGACATTTTTGTAGTTTAAATTAAGCTTTGATGGTTTAGATGTTAAAATGGATTTATGGCTTTAGGTCACTTGTCTTTGGAATGAGTTTGTTGTTCAAATTCTAAGTTTCCATCATTCAATTATATTGTGCTTTCATTAATTATGAAAAAAATCTTTGTAATCATGAAAAAAATATTTGTAATTCCTTCAAAAGTATGAACCTTCTGTTATTTATCATCTGTATTTTGTATTTTGTCTGTCAAATTGAACAGGCATATTCATATATAGAGAGATGGTTTTACTCTTTGACTAATATTTGTGCATATTGAGATCACAGTGTCAGAAATTAGAATACTTTTTAGATTTTTTGATCCCACTGACTTTCTCTTTATCTCTACCTTTTCACCTCTGCCACAATTCACTCTAGTAAGGTAGATTGTCTTCATATTTCTTTACTTGTAACGTTTTGGGGTTTTAGTGGGGATAATGTACTGAAAGACTTCATAAACTGGTAAGTAGTATACAGATACCATGTGTCACTACTGCTAAGACAGAAAAAAAACTATTATTATTATTATTATTATTATTATTATTATTATTACATGACCATGTAAGAAATAATGAAGAGCTGAAACAGAGCCTGAATTATACAAATGTAAAGGACAGGACATTTTGTAAGCAAAATCAATACAGTTCAGCAATACCTTAGATGAAAATAAAATATTTTTATTGTAAGATAAATAATACTATAATAGAAAGTAAACAATACCATAAAATATAGAGAACAAAAGTAAAAGCCACTTAAATTCTTCCAGTCTAGAAATGAACATCCTTTTTTTAATTTTATTAAAGTTCGATTTGCCAACATATAGTATAACACCCAGTGCTCATCCCATCAAGTGCCCCCCTCAGTGCCCATCACCCAGTCACACCATCCCCCTGCCTGCCTCCCCTTCTGCTACTCCTTGTTCGTTTCCCAGAGTTAGGCGTCTCTCATATTTTGTCACCCTCTCTAATTTTTCCCACGAAATGAACATCCTTTAAAATACCTTTCTATGTGAATATATGCTTTTTGTTTTTAACTTGAGGTTTTAAATTCAACAATATAACACAGTTTTCCATATCAGTAAACATAAATCTATATCATTTCTTTAACATTTACATTGTACTCCATTTTATGGTTGGTACTGTGATAAAAACAGGCATGCAGATCAATGGATAGAATAAAGGGTCCAGAACTGAACCCATGCGTATAGAGTCAACTAGTCTTCAACCAAGAACACACAATGGGGAGAGGATAGTCTTTTCAATAAGTAGTGGTGGGAAAATTGGATGTCCACATGCAAAAGAATGAACCTGGACCTTACACCCCTCACAAAAACTAACTAAAAATTAATTCAAGACTTAAATATAAGACCTGAAAACATAAAACTCCTAGAAGAAAACATCAAGAATAAGCTTCTTGACATTAGTCTTGGCAATTTGGGGGGTGAGGTGGGGTGAGGTGGAGGGTGAGGATAAGACAAAAGCATAGGCCACAAAAACTAAAATACAAGTGGGACTAGGGGCGCCTGGGTGGCTCAGTCAGTTGAGTATCTTATTCTTAATCTTGGCTCAGGTCTTGATCTCATGGTTGTGGGTTCAAGGCTCACATTGGGCATGGAGTCTACCTAAAAAAAAGAAAAAGAAAGAAAAAGAAAATAAGTGGAACTACATTAAACTAAAAAGCTTCTGCATAGCAAAGGAAATAGTCAAAATAATGAAATGGCAATCTATGAAGGGGAGAAAATATTTGAAAATCATGTATTTGATAAGGGGTTAATATCCAAATATAGGAGGAACTAATACAACTCAATAACAACAACAACAACAAACCAAATAATTCAATTGAAAAATAAACAAAGGATCTGAAAATACATTTTTCCAAAGAGAACATCCAACAAGTACATGAGAAGGTACTCAACATCACTATTCATCTGGGAGGTTCAAACCAAAACCGCAATTTGATAACACCTCATACCTGTTAAGATGCCTTTTATCAAAAAAGAGATTACAAAGGTTGACAATGATGTGGAGTAAAGGAAACCCTTGTTCACTGTTGGAGTGTAAATTGGTACAGCCACTATGGAAAACAATATGGAGGTTCCTCAAAAACAAAACAAAACAAAACAAAACAAAACTACTACATGACCCAGCAATCCCACTTATGGGTAAAGATCCAGAGGAAACAAATCAGTATTTGAAGAAGTATCTATCCATGTCTACTGCAGCATTATTCACAATAGCTAAGATGTGGAAACAACCTAAGTGTCCATTGACAGATGAAGGGAATCTTGGCATTTGCTATATCATTGATGTACCTGGAGGGCATTACACTAAGGAAAATAAGCCAGATAGAGAAAGACAAATACTGTATGGCATCAGTTCTATATGGAATCTTAATAAATAAGACCCAATTTCATAGAAATATAGAATAAAATGGTAGTTGCCAGGGGCTTGTTAGTGCTCTTTGTGCCACTTTAAAAATCTTACTGCCTCAAGGTCTTGAAAAAAATTTTAAGGTTTCGTTTTTAAATAATTTCTACACCCAGCATGGGGCTTGAAGTCACACCCCCTTCCCAGATCAAGAGTTGCATGCTGTACTGACTAAGCCAGGTGCCCCAAAATTCTTTTTATTTTGCAGAATTTGTATTTTTAATGTTAACTTTTAACCCTACAATCTACCTCTGTGGAGATTCAGCAAAAAATTAAAAAAAAAAAAAAAAGAAATACCATATGATCCAATAATTCTGCTACTGGATATTTACCCAAAGAAAATGAAAACTCTAATTGGAAAAGATATATGCACCCCTATGTGTATTGCAGCATTCTTTACAATAGCTAAGATACAGAAGCAACCCAAGTATCCATCCATAGATGAAAGGATAAATAACATGTACTATCTATCTATCTATCTATCTATCTATCTATCTATCTATACACACACACAATGGAATATTAGCCATAAAAAAAGAAATCATGTCATTTGTGACAACATGATGGACCTAGGGGATGTTATGCTAAATGAAGTAAGTCAGACAGAGAAAGACAAATACAATATTATTTCACTTATATGTGGAAGCTAAAAATAAAAACAAGTGAATAGACAGCAAAAAGAAACAAATAGGCTCATAAATAAAGAGAACAAAATGGTGGTCATCAAAGTAGAGGGGTGTAGGAGGATGGGCAAAGTACATGAAGGGGATTAAGAACTACAACCTTACAAACATAAGTTAGGAATATGAAAAGTACAACATAGAGAATAGAGTCAATAATATTGTAATAACGTATTTGACAAATGGCAACTACACTTGCCATGGTAATCATTGCATAATGTATAGATTTGTTGAACTGCTATGTTGTACAACTGCAAATAATGTAATACTGAATGTCAACTGTAATTCAATAAAAATAAACCAATCAAATGCCCATATAAATGTGTATATCTACTACTACACTTGGTCCTTAACTGCCTTACTTTATAAATATTTATATTCAATAGTGTAAGTCTTCCAAGTTTGTTTAAATGTGTTGTTCTTATGCTAATTTGTGATAGATGCTTAAGTCATGGATTTTTCAGCTTCTGTTTCCTAATGTATGCATTCAAGGGTATAATTTCCATTTAAGCATGACTTTGATTGCATTCTGACAATTTTATATGTATTTTTCATTTTCATTCAGTTCAACATATTTCTAACATTCTGTTGGGAATTCTTCTTTGCTTTAGGTTTCTTAAAAGTTTATTTCCTAATTTCAAACAACATTTTCTAGGGAAACACACACACACACACACACACACACACACACACCTTAACCTGTTCTGTATTATATCAACCCTTTGAAATTTATTGAAATTCCCTTACGGCTCATTATATGGTCAGTGGCAAGATTTCCGTGTACATTTTTTTAAAGATTGTTATTTATTTAATCATGAAAGACACAGAGAGAGACACAGGCAGAGGGAGAAGCAGGCTCCATGCAGGGAGCCAGATGTGGAACTCAATCCTGGACCTCTGGGATCACGTTCTGGGCTGAAGGTGGCACTAAACTGCTGAGCTACCTGGGCTGCATGATTTCCATGTACATTGAAGAGAATGTGCAGTCTACAGTTCACTGTTGAATGCAGTGTTCTATATAAATCAACTCTCTTTCTTTTCTATTTTCCCACCTATTCTATATTCTATTCTATTCTATTCTTTTATCTAACTACCCTTGCTCTTTTTTATGTT